TCACTACCCGCAGTTCCTGACATTGACCAATGCGACGAGCAATACTTTCAGCTTAGTGTACATTATTCCTGGGTATATGTGTGCCCTGCAGGGGACGTTCATTGCAATTATCTGAACCGCCTTGATTAAGTGTGTTTGCAAGTGTGTGTTTGTTCATGTGTAGACTGGGTGGGGGCAGTAAAAAACTCACCCTGCTACAAGTTTAATATCAGCGCTACCAAGTAAGGAAGCAGAGGGGGCCTTTGCAAGGCACACAAGTTGAATTTTAAAGGTAATAACTTTAACAACCCCTTTTAAATTACAATTATGCAAACATATTATATATAAATATAATAATATAAATAAATATTAATTATTCTGGTGCAAACATGATTTCCTTTACAAGGCACAGGGGTAAATCTCAATACCAAGAACGCAATGACCATATTTGTGGTCTTGGCAAGACCGGTCTTGCTAACTTGCCTTCCAAGAACGAACGCGGGGCACAATGAATCATAGGATTGGTTTTGTTCAGCGAGGATGCAACTGATGTATCCTTGATATTTGTGGTAAAGCAAGACCAACATTTGGGGATTTTTAAGCGTCCCCTGTACTTGTTTTTAGTTTTGGAACTGCCAATGGAAGATGACATAAGACAAGTACAGGAAATCACAGGTACGGACAAGTGCGCATATTGAGATTCACCCACAGATTTTTGTTAGTAGAATACGAGCTTCTGGTTTTGGCGGGATCAAGAAGCTCTCTGTCCACCTCTGTCCATCACCACCATCTTTTTGTAATTCTCTTAATTTCTATCATTCCTTCGCATCAGAGCATGAGGCATTCAGGCAGAACGTGGTCGAATGTTTGTTGTAACAATGACACTGTTCAGATTGATTAGTGTAAAATTTAGCTTTGATCTGGTTAAGTTTAATCTAACGTGAAGTGATACATTGTGCCACAAAGCCTCAGTGATAATTCATAGTGCCTTCGCTCCTCATTTTCTTTGGATCATAATTAGTTTAGTCGAGATGAAAATAAACTGCAAAATCTGCTTAAACTAGAAACATCAAATGCACTGCATTTGTTAAACACGAATTCCTGACGGGTGGATAAAGGGAGACAAATGAAAGTTCCATTAACACATTTGTTAGTTATATTTAGGCTCAATCTCTGATTAATTGGATGTTTTCCTCAAACTTTCCACACTTATACTCCTCCTTCAAAACAGACTGTCTTTCATACAGGGGAACTTCAAAAGGTTGTTTGGCCTTACATGAGGAGATGATTATTTTCCAAGCAGCACCCTTTCATCCTTCAGTCAAGATTAAAAGAAGGCTGAATATCGTGCGTGGGCCCACTATCAGAGCTGTGGCCAATATTCCAGCCTAATTTACCAGCTTTGCATTTTGTTGCTTTTTAAAATTCAGTTAATTTCAAATCCTCTCATTTAATTTCCTCATCGGTCTGATGTCCTTTGGCAAAAATAAAGAGGGCATCTTTTAAAAAAAAAAGCATTGTTTTTAATGCACTGTACTAGCCTGTGATGTGATGAGCTCCAAAATAGCTCCTCACTGGGGCACAGGGTGACCCCCACACATCCAGAGGTGCATATTTTCCCGGTGTCCCTACAAGTCACCTCCCACAATCCAAAGACGGTTGCTGGATCGGTGTCTGTAAATTACCCATAATGCATCTGTATACGTGGCAGACCCGTGATGGACTGGCATCTTGTCCGTGGTGTCTCGTGCTCCCTGGAGTAGATTCCAGGCTTGATGGCTAGATGGATGGGTGGCTCATTTGTCATTACTTGGTCCTGAAATGCAGTACGATTTTGTGCTTCCTGTGTGTTAAACTTGCCCTGAAATTGTCCATTCTCAGTCCTCTCAGCTCTACTTTTTTTTTTAATGAGTACAATAGCTACCCCCATAGCTTCTGACGACTGGTCGTGCCATTAGGTCGCACTGAAAACATCAGTCCTGTTAAAGCAGTTGGATCCGGTCCGTAAGTGTCAGTTGCTGCTCTGTTTCAGGACCTTGTTACTGGGAGTTATGTCTAACGAAAGCAAGAGAGATCAGTAACCTTCCACAGTCACTTTGCACAGAGATGATGAAGTTGGAATTGCTAAGGAATCTGGATCTAATGATAGTTTTAGTGAAAGTGTATTGTGGCATAAATTAACAAGTGCCTCAGTCTGAATCTTAGGTTTAATACGAAGAGCCAGATGATGCACAAAAATGCTCTTCAGGTTGCTGTTTTGTGCCTATGTTTATCATCGGGCCGATCCTCTTGACCTAATCTTGTTACTAGATCACACCCACAGGTCAATTCTGATCATTAATCTAAGCAAGATCGTTAGGCCACGCCCCCCCACCTGCCCTGTTTACTGGTTCGACAGTCCAGCTGGGAGCAATGTAACATGGTCCGATGCAGCTGTCAGTTTGTGCATCTCTGATGAATAAACATAAACACCTGGACCATGCAGCACCTGGCCTGCGGGGTCCTAACTGTGCTGTGATGGCGTAGGCCGTGTGTTCTTGGCACAGTTTGGGTCTCCTGACAGGTAACGTACTGCGGTACATCACTGTCCTACTCCCACGACCTGAGACTCAACATCCAACGACGTGAAGTCTACTGCTGCTTCGCACAGATGTTTCTTTCCGTTCCGTTCCTTGCCAGTGTGAAGCCGCCCCCCCGCCCGTCTCGTTATTTCAGCACTGTAGCCAAGCTCGGCGCCTCATCACGCCCGATCGCTCGCTGTCACGTCTGCTTCCGCGGAGACGCGCTGAGCCCCGATTCGGCTTCTTCCTGGCTGGGAGCGACGTCCTACCGAACGGCACCGAACACGACCTGTCACCTTTCGGCTTGAGGAGACCAAGGACAAAGCTAACTATCTACCACAGGCCCTCAAAATCAGCCAAATGAGCAAACAAACGAACAAATAAATATATAATCCCCAGGGCGTGATCCCATGGGCCGCGCGTCTGCAGGAGCTCCTGTGATTTTGGCTTCTGTCACACCAGATACCACGCGGAACCCTGCACCCCCCACTGCTTCTCCTCACACTTTTTCCGAGCTGTTTTGTCGGCACATATTGACATAAAGCTACAAAGAAAACTCCACAATCACACTGCTGCTTCATGCATTTCCAAACTGCAGAAAGAGGACAGGCAAACGTGTGACTTATTTTTAATTATGCAAATTCCACCTGCATGGAGTTATATTACAACTGATTATATTACATATAGCTTATATTTAACTAACCATGCTCCAATCTATAATAATAAATAACAATAATATTTGATAATTAATAATAAATGTTACAATAAAACACAACAACAATGCTATTATTATTAGTAGGAGTAGGATCATTGTTATTGTATAGCAGAAATGATATTGTGGGTTGGTCAGATCCAAATAAATGCTTACAAAAATAAAAGGTAATAACAAATCTTGTACATAATTATTGTATAAAACTATTTAAGTAACATTATCTTATAATTTCTTATAAGAACAACCATTGTCCCAAAGGAAAGCTGATCCACCAATTCTCGTTTCACAATGGGCTAAGTGCTTATAAGTCTGATGTCTGGATATCCTAGACAGAGTTGTAAATGTATTTCCAGGTTTACCGCGGTTCTTAGTTAAAAACAGTACCTTCTTTATACGGAACCATTAGAACGGAAGGCAGTGGGGGGGCGGTGCATGCATACTGGAGGGGGGAACTGGAAAACCATAATTACCTCACTTACGGGATGTAAACTTGTCTGCTCACCAGCCCACATGAGTACAGTGCAAGCAGCATATCCTCACCGACATTCTGTGATTTTATTAAATATCTGTGAGATGATCCTTCCCCTATTAATATGCTGTTTCCGTACATTACATGCTGTGGTTTGAACAGGGAAACACAAGGCTAGGATAAATATTTAATGTCCAGAGTAGATGGTATTGAAAATATAAATGATGTTGATAAGGTCCCTAGTGATACTGCTCTTGCCTAATATGATGACAAGGACTAAGTTCTGTTTGTGTATGAATTTTATGTTATATATTATCATGCATAGCTATTAAAAGTTAGATATGTATACAGACACATCCATTTGCCAAATGGTTATCCTGGTCAAGTTTATGGGGGGGCGGAGCCTATCAGAGGAAGCACAGGGCTGGAGAGCATGGTAGAGAGGGTGGCAGTCCATGGTGCTCAAATTCACCCAATCATACCCTATGGCCAGTTTATAATTACATTTTACCTATTTAGCAGACAGCTTTATCCAAAGCAACATACAACTGGGAAAGAAGGGTCAGTCAGTCCCTGGATCAACTGGGATTAAGGGTCCATGGTGACTTCACTTTGACAACCACGGTATTTGACCCAATGACCATCTGATCACAGACAGTGTGTCCTGATCCACTGAGCCACACACCACCCCTATACAAGCCAATTAGCCTGACTGTATGTTTCCGGATTGCTAGAGGAAACCTCCACACGACATTATGACAGTGTCAAGGAACTCCAGTCAACTTAACGTCAACTAATACCAACACATCGCAAAAGATCTGGTGTTGGATAAGCCTTGTGACCAACAGACCATGGGTTTAAAGAAGAAACTTTGCTTCCAAGCATCTGGATAGGTGCTTCACCAAAACTACTGATACAAAAAATGCAAATGAGAAAAGCGCAAGCTTTGAAAATTTCTTCAGATAAATCAGTGCTCCAAGCAACTCAGTATACATTGAAATATAATTAAATATACTTGCCTAAGACAACATATGCTTGAGTCTAGACTAGAACCCTCAGGATATTGAAATACTGAAAACTCAATGTTTGGTAGAGATGCCTGGAATTCCATCCTGTAGCAACTTAACAATTGATTAAAACATTTTTCCCCCCACATTGGCATTAGGGATTTACCCAAAGGGCATCTCCGGATCTTCAATAAGAAGCTCTGCAACAAGGTAGACAGCTTTACACTTGGTCACCCCAAAGAGGCAGAGAATGAGGAGAATCGAGGACCAACCTCTGCGTGTCCGTCAGCTACAGCGGGAACTTTGTCAGTGTGGGTCTGGTGACCTGCAACCTGAGAAAAGAAGCGGACTGGTGGGACATGTAGGAATGGAAACTTCAGTAGGCATGTATCAATGAATCGCGAATCGGTTAAAAATCGATGTAAATGTATAATGATTTAAACTGGCTGATGTGGGAAAATGAATCGTTACTTTAGGAGTACTTCACGGTACTTTAACAGAAAAAACTGGTGTAATATTACATTTGATTTCACGACGTTAGTTCGACGTCAGATGTCACTGCGTATTCACGTCGACGTCGTACGTTAGTTTTTGGTTTTGACCGAAAGCGAGATGGCGATCGAATTTGAAATTGAGGACACACCCCCCGATCTTAAATCAGCAGTGTGGCAGCGTTATAGCTTTCCGGTAATCACAAACGAAAACGGCGAGAAAAGCAAAGACAAAAACTGCTTACAAACATTGTAAAAGATATGATAACATACACAAATACACAACGAAAATGCTATAGCATGTCCACCGGTAACACAGTGAGCTCAATTCACCACCGCCAGAGTGAAGATTATTAAAAGGGCAAACCACGCTAAATAGCTGCACAATCAAGCCTTAGTTTATTTGGTAACACTTTATATTAAGTGCACCTTCATAATTCATTCATTATGCATTTATAGAACATTCAGTGGACCTTCATAATGCATTCATAGAACATTCATAAGCAGCTTGCAAGTACACTTTAACATCCTAACATCCCTTAACAGCTTTAATATGCATTAATAACAAACATTACATGATTATACAATTATAGTGTTTGTTATTATATAATGATTGTTATTAATGTATTTTACTGTTATTAAGGGATGTTAGGATGTAAAGGTATACATGCATGATGTTTATGAATGATTTCTGAATACTTAATGAATACATTATGAAGGTGTACTGAACGTTTTATGAATGCAATATAAAAGCATTATGAAAGTGCAGTTAATTACCGCTTATTTGAAGATTTTTTTTATTTTGATTTCAGATTTTTTTTAAACAGTATTTTATTCAATTTCAGTTGCACTGTTAAGAAGAGGACACGTTCTGCCCAGTTTAGAAAGATAAATAAAGGAATATTTTGAATAAATTTGTCTGCAGCTCATTCTGTTAAAAAATCATGAGAAAATCGTATCGTGAACTCAGAATCGTGCATCGTATCGAATCGTGAGTTGAGTGTATCGTTACATCTCTAGTCTTCAGTTTATATAATTACCCAGGGATTGTGGCTATTAATGGTCTTCAAAGGGCTTGTGTTTCTGAGTATGTACTGAATCACAGAGTGATAAATCAAGTAATTGACTGGGGGCCACTCATAATACATTACCTCATGAAATCTTGGCTCTGAGGCATAATATCCATCCATCCATCCATCCATCCATCCTGTAAAACACACAGGTTTGTCATTATATCTTTGTGGTGACTCTCCCTTCATTTCTATGGATAAAACTCTAATCCCAACATGCCGACCTTAACCCCTACCCAGCCCTAACCAAACAAAATATGTGACTTGTGATGTTTTTATTTTTTTGTAAAATTGAGTTTCCCCCCGGAAAAATGTCTCCACAAGGTCAAACTAACAGGTTTTTATTACACTGTTGCAACATTAGGTCCCCACAATGTCATACATACACACACTAGGAGCACTAGAAGCTAATCCAACTGCAATACCCAGAGGAAACTCACACAATACACACATCACAAAAAAAAAAACACACACACACGCATGCACAGCACAGAGACGGGATGAGAAACCCTAACCCTAGAGGTATGATGCCACAGTGCTTCCCTGTAAACCACCAAGTCACCTCGTCATTACACGCTGCGAGAGAAAGGTACAGAAATATATTAACACAGGGGCCTAATGTTTACTCTGTAATAGCCGGCACATTCCGCGAAACAGGTACAGAGGCTTTTCCTGCTTGCAGGCTGCCTCGCCACACTGAATGATAAGAATGTCCTAATGAGGCCTTGCATCGTCCTCATGCATGCCGTAGCCGCCTCATGGGGGCGATTATCTCCGCCGATGCCACTCGGAAAGCGGCTGCCCGGGCCTGCGATCCCGTCAGGAATTTCAGGGGCGACGCGGGACAGTCGGGGAAGGTGTGGTAAGTGGTGGAATTAGGAGTAACAGGCAGACAAACAGAGTAATGAGACGCGAACGAGTTTCCAGCCAGTCTCTTGACCGGAAAAAAAAACAAAAACCCGAAAATACTGTAATAAGGCTACAGGATTGTCACCGGTCTCAGTGGCTAGGAGCAGTCTGCCACGGACGGGTGCCGGAAACAGGGACTCCCCGTGGCAAACCCCGCAGCCGCGCATCAGTCGTACGACTACAGACGCGCTGGGGCGCTTGGTGGCACCGGCTGACGCCAGCGACGACTCATACCGTCCCGTCGTTTCCCTCCGGTCCTGATTCTGTCATCAGGCACCTGGGATGTAAAAGAAACTCTGCCTTTACTGTCTCGACATTTCAGCCCGGTGCTGAAAACGCCGCTTCTGAGAAATCAATTTTCAATCAGTCAATATTATTTAAAAAGCTCTTTTAAATGATACCTGAGTGTGCAGTAAAGTGCCGAACAAACGTAAAAACAAGAGCAGGGGTAAAAAATAATAATAAAAATAAGAAAAAACCAGCAGCAGTTAAATATATATATAAAGAACAGTGTAAGGCCATCCATAAAGGAAATAGCATACGGGAAAGTATTCTTAAATAACAGAACCCTTTTTTCAACACTGCCCCAGTACAAAACCATCACATTTAATCAAATTTACAGCAGATGTACTAACCTAGACTCCTCCTTCTTAACCCAGTAAACATTCATGCCCCACCTTTATATTTCAGGGGCACCACATTTGAAATATTGCTCCTGTGGGCAGAGAAAATGTCATTTCTCATGTATCCTGAAGAGTATGATGTGTGTGTGTGTATATATATATATATACTGTACACATATATGTGTATATATATATATATATATATATAGAGAGAGAGAGAGAGAGACACACACACACACATAGTGAGTGTAATGTTCTTATGTTCTTCACAAAGGATGCATGGTAAGGAGAGCGTGATGTTCTTTATGAGGGTGAATATTTAGTGGTTGAAATGGAACCCAGTATCTGGTATTGAATTTGCAACTGTAATTTCAATTACTTACTTACTTACTTACTTACATCCATCCATCCATCCATCCATCCATCCATCCATCCATCCATCCATCCATCCATCCATCCATCCATCCATCCATCCATCCATCCATCCATCCATCCATCCATCCATCCATCCATCCATCCACCCACCCACCACTTATCCCGTAGAGGGTGGCAGCTTTTATCTTTTCCTATTATGATATTATGAGCAGCACGGTGGCTCGGGGGAAGCACTGTGGCCCCCAGGTTTGGGGTTCGAATCCTGCTCCCCTGTGAGTGAAATTTGCATATTCTCCATTACTCTGTTACTATGGGTTCCTGCGGCAGTCCAAAAGCATGCAGTAAAGCGTGAAGTGCTGTCTCTGAATTGCCCAGAGTGTGTCCTGTGACAGACTGACATCCTGACCGGGGGGGGGGGTGGCCCCATGTCCCGTGTTGCCTGGGACGGGCTCCAGGATCACAGTGGTCCTCTACTGGATAAGCGTTTATAGAAAATGGGTGTAAGGATGGATTATTGCTTATATTATTAAAAACTGCAGGTGGTCTTTTCCCAAATTCCAAACTCTTCAGGGCATTATTGTTCATTTCCTGAGAAGGAACCCCCCCCCCCTTCTGAGGGTCTTTTTGGCACCATACGATGTTCAGAAAGACTCTGTCCCTTCAGCTTGTGTTATGGACAATTCTGAGTTTTTGCACGTCAACGTTGCTGTGTTGCACTGCAGCAAGGATATACATCACTACAGCGCTCAGTGTCACATCAAGCTGGGGGTGGCAGCCGCGGGCCTGTGGGCTGGGGTGGGGGGGAATACAAATGGAGACGAAGGAAATGGCGTATATGACAAAGTGTGACTGATAAAACATCATTCATAATTTATTACCCTAACTGTGACACGCGGCTGCAGTCAGTGTTCGTGACGAAATCGGAATGCGGTATTTCATTATATGAAATGTGCGCCGTTTATTTCTTAGCCGTTATCAATTAATAGGACATTTCTCAGGGATTCCTGCAAAATTAGACACACCAAGCCAGTCGACGGCAGACAAATTCTGGCTACTGACCAGATCAGGAAGAAAAGAGCTGAACACGTGAATGGCACAGAACCGCAATAAAAACACCCGGAAAAATGACGAACTGTAGCTACATTTATCAAGCTGACACATTTATACAAAGCGTACAGCTGAGAAAGGGGGGTCAACCAGACCCCACAACAGGGGATTACGGGTCTGGCTCAAAGGCCCAACAGTGACACTGCTTTGCTGACCACAGGATTTGAGCCAGCAACCGTTCACTCACAAGCACAGCATCCTAACTCACTAATTGATCTGTTTAAAATAACTCATTTGAGGACACTGTAGAGAACTTGCTTGAGGTTATTGCTGCCAAAGGAGGGTTGACCAGTTATTAAATCCATGGGTTTAAGTTCTGTTTCCAACCTACATTGTGATTGTTTGAATGATGTATTCAATGCATATGAGAGCAACACAATAATTGGTGGGTTATCAGTTAAAGCAAATCGTGTTTGTTCATTATTGTAACTGAGATAAAGATCAGATGACATTTTATAACCAATTAATCCAGAAAACCAGGTTCACACCATAAGGTTCACATACATTTTCTTACTACTGTATATTAACAAGGATTGCAGGTAAATAATTGAACATGTTAACCCATATACATTTAATGCGTCTACCAGAGTAAATTAATCATCCATCCATTTTCTGAATCTACTTCTTCAGCACTGGAGCCTGACAGGACACAGTGGATGGGTTTCCAGTGAATTGCAGACATAAATTAAATATACATTTTTACTAATTTATATCTTGAAGTATCACATTTAAAATATGCATGTGATCATAATAAGCACAGCAATGCAAAATTTAGAATAGCTATCCGCAAGAAAAACAGACAATGACGCCTAAAAATCCTCATTGACCAATGTGTTGCACGCAGAGGTGGAAATTTCAGGTCCAGAAAGTACAAATCCAGACCAAGGTTTTGTTTCAACCAAGCAGTTGAGTACTCTGTGGTTATGACTCTTTATATTCAAGTGGTTGGTTGAAACAAAACCTTGGTCTGGATTTCTATACTTTCTTGACCTGAAATTTCCAAGTTATTACAATATCATTGGGAGGATTTTCAGAGGAGGTATAAAATCTTCCCACCATACATTTAGCACTGTCCTGGGAGGTGGGGCTGGCGGAAGCTACTTCCTGGAGTCAGTGCCACGACGGAGACCCCTGCCTGTGCACACTCCTGCGGGACCCCAAAGCCGGACACCGGCATCGGCTCTTAAAGGGCCAGTTCTCACTGACTTATGCAAATACACACAGCTTATACCTGAAATCAAAGGGATCACTCTGCTCCCCAGAGCTCAATCTACAGTCAGTGTATGAGTCAGAATGCCCCCCCCCCCCCCCCGCAATTCCTCCACACACCTCCACCTTTTTAAATGTAGTCATTGCAGGAGATAATAAAGACCTTCTTGGACCAATCATGTGAGTTGTCCTTTTTTCAATTATGTTATATTGTTTTGTTAAAAAGCATAACCAACAACTTACGTAAAATCTACAGAGGCTGTGTAATCACCTCATGATGCCTGCTCACGGTGAGATAATAGCTACCTTTTTAATGGCAAAACCCTCGTTGACCTGAAAGCTTCATCACTAACTGCCAAGAATGTTGACGACTTATTGGTGGGTTTTTCCTTTTTCCCCTCAACTCCCCTGTCATTCCGACCAAGGTTCCTCTGCCTCTGTCATCACAGATCCATCGAGGGCTTGCCGTTTACCTTCCAGTGCCTGAATTGTTTCCAGAAGACCAACAAACATATATCAACTTAGGAGGCATCTTGGATTTGGCCAGTGGTTTTTGTGCAGCCCAGTGGGCAGGACGCTGTGGCAGTGTGTGGAAGGTCTCTGGTTCAAATCCCACTTTGCCAGAATAATTTCACTACTGGCCTTTAACCCCCAATTGCACCAGGGATGGACTGGCCCAGCTTTCACAAAAAAGGCATGTGGCTTTAGATAAAAGCGTCCGCTAAATGAATAAAGTATACAATATGAAGTCAATCAGGAGACGACACGTTTTAGAATGTGATGTCCCGCAAGTGAAGAAACGCAACCCCGAGTACAAAATCTGCCACCTTCAGCTGAATTGTTGCTTTGTTGATGTCTCTGCCCTGGTCTGAACCCAAGGTGGGAACAGTTTCTTCCGAGATGCTTTACAGCGA